ACCATCCTGGAAGCAGAGCCCGGCTGGGCAGGGCAGGGTGACCCATGACACCCCCCACCCTGCGTCTGCTGTGGGCTGGACAGGCCCACGCCCCGCTGGGAGGCAGGGCCCCTGGGAGGGGGAGGGGGAGATGAGGCGGCGGCAAGGAGCCCCCAGGGCTCCGCAGGGACAGGGAGGCCAGAGCCTTGGGACTCTGCAGCAAGAAGGTGGCCTCGAGGGAACCGCGCCTAGCCAGGAGCCGCAATCCATCCGCCTGTTCTCTGTCAGCCCGCCCGAGGGAACCATCTTTCCCAAGGCCGGGCGGCCCCCTCCAGATGCATCACCACGGACACGGACACCAGGCAGAGGGCAAACCATGTCTATCGGCTCAGCGCCAAAGAAGTCCTTCCTACCAAGGACGCTGTCATGCAGCCCCGACGAGGCTCGGTGACACCCTAACCCTCAGTAAGTGTGGAATGACGCGCCAGGGCCAACAGTCACGGCCCACACAAGACCAGCACAGACCCCGCTGGCGGAACCAGACGGCTCCCGGGAGCGGCACTCGGCTCACACACACTATCAGAAACGGCATCGCTGCTGGAAGACAGGAAGACGACACCAGGGAGAGCAGCAGGAAAGACTCAGGGACTTGGATGGGGAGGTGAAGACGTCCCAGACGTGTTCTCCAAGAGAAAGAGAACAGAGCAAGTGGAGAAGACAGACAAGTGCAGAGCCTGGGGAGGCCTCCTCTCAGCCCGCGACACAGGCAGTGCCCGGGACCTGCAGGCTGTGGTTCTGTCCCGAGGCGCCCTCCTGAGACCACAGGAGCACACCAGCTGAGGAGCCGCACACTGATCCACAGTCTGGGAGGCTGAGGCGGGAGGACCACGAGTTCAAGGCTAGCCTGGGCAACTTAACAAGAACTCATCTCAATAAGAAGCAAGCTGGATATGGTGGTGCACGCCTGTCATCCCCACACTCGGGAGGTTGACGGAGAGTCGCTGTGAGCTCAAAGCCAGCCTGGACTACATAGCAAGACCCTGTCTCAAAAAACCAACAAAAGAGAGCGATGGTGCATGCCTGGAATCCCAGTGCTTGGGAGGCTGAGGCAGGAAGACTGCTGTGAGATCAAGGACAGCCTGGGCTACATAGTGAGTTCAGGACCAGCCTGAACTACAAAGGGAGACCCTGCCTCAAAAACACCAGAAAACAAAAAAATTTTTTAAAAAGAAAAAGAAATACAGGGCTGGGTATGGAGCTCAGCATGAGGGTCGCAAGTTCAATCCTCAGTACTGGAAAAGCAAAACCAGTCCCAGGATTTGTGCTCCCTGAACTCCGGGAGGAGCAGGGCACAGCTGCAGAGCCTGGGGCTCATGGACAGGGAGAAGCTCAGGCGCTGTGCGTGTGGCTTGGGCAGAGGACTTGGGGCCCTGAGGGGACCCCTGAAGGGAGCACACATGCTCTCAGGACCTGCCCAGCTGCCCCCATGACAGACACCTGGCTCTGCCCATGGTTCCATGCAGGCCAGATCCGGGCAAGGACAGGGCTGTGCACAGGGCCCTGCGGGTGACCCTCGGGAGTGAGGTGGGCACTGGGGATGCCGGCCCAGGTCAGGAGCCAAGTCTGTGGCCTCGAGAGGCGTAGCTCACAGGAGGAAGTGAAAGTGGCCTCGAGGGGGCATGGCGTGCCAGAGAGGCTCCTGCCTGCCCCGGAGTGGGGCACAAGCAGCAGGCTGTGTGGTGCTGGCTCAGGTGAGCAGGGCCAGAGCCCGGGCTGGGGAGGCGGCTGCACTCCCACATGAACACTGTCACAGCCGTCTCCTGCCTGCCTCCTAGCTCCCACAACCCAGTGAGCCCAAGGACGAGAGACCGTACACTCCTCCCTGAGGTCACTGTGCTCTACTCTGACTCCGCTCTGCACTGCCGGCCTCAGACAAAAAGCAGGAGAGCTCAGGAGCCCAAGGCTCTGCCCCACAGGATGCCCACACCGCGCCCTGCTGACCTGGTCGAGGGGCCAGAGGGACGCCCACAGGACTGGCCTACAGGGAGCAACGGCGCAGCCCTGCCTCCGGGAAGGTCGCCTGGCTGGGCGTGAAGCTGGGGCAGCGAGAAAAGCCAACTAGAGGGGCTCTGCCTGGGGTTTTGGGGTCAGGGCTGGTGGCACAGGGACACTGACTGGACAGCGTGGCTTTACCGCATGAGCACACGCTTCAGCAGCTGCTGGTCCCCCTCCGAGTAGCCGGGCCAGTCCTTCTGCAGGTCCTTGTACATGCTGTCCCTCAGGGTGCACGTGCCATCCTTGGTGCTCACGTTGGCCACCTGCAAGACAGTAGCGTCACCCGCCGGAGCCCCATGTCCGGGACAGGAGGGACAGAGGCCCCCACACGTGGCCTTCGCGGCATGGAGGGATGGGGGGGCAGTGGTGGCCAGGCGGGGACACTCGTCCCTGAGCTCCTGCTGGTGGCCAGGAGCACACTTGTCCCCACGCCTGGGGCCCTGTCTGTGGACACCCCTGCCACGTGGAGTTGGGCACATCCGTCCGTGGCTGCTGTCCATGACTGCGGGGACAGCGTGGGGGCTGACAGACACTTCCCCTGCCGCACTGACAGAGTGGCACTGTGCCAGCTTCTTGGTGGCACACGTGACTGCCCTCAGCTACTGCCAGAGATGGGCCTGGCGGGGACCCGCCCTGACAGACACGCCTCTTGGACTCCCTGGGCCCTGCGTGCAACCCATGGTGCCTTCTGTCTTCACATGGGACATTTCCACAGGGAGTGGGGCCTCAGAGGGACACAGCTGTCACTGGTGGTCCGCAGTCTGGTGGCCTGTGGAGGCTGGAAATGACGGCCAGGTGAGGCGCGTCCCCAGACTTCCCCTCTGTGGTCCTGCAGCTCAGAGGGCCGGGGTTCCCGGAGGTGTCCAGGCTGAGTGTCGGATGAAGTGAGCAGTGCAGACACTGCCCACGGACACTGCACCGGTCACCTGGAGAAGATGGGTTCCAGCCTGCGCTGCCCCAGGAAGGGCCAGGTTGGGGACAAACCGAGGCCTCCGCTCAGTGGGCAGCCTGCCTCACTGTCCCCATGTGGCCTGAGAAGGCCCTGCTGTGCTCCACTCTGCATTCCGGAGGCCCCACGGAGGCCCTAAGGACATCTTGTCTGGATTGCAACTTCCTGGACGCCTCCTTGGCCCTTCTGCCTGGGCCACGAAGCCACATGCCCACTTGATGCCGCCTGCGCTGCTCCTGAGCACAGGGGGCAGAGAGACAGTCCCAGTCCTGGCCCTCAGCCGGACAGCAGCCCAGATGGCGCCTCCCGGGGCTGGGTGGCTGGCTCACAGTTCCCGGACCAGTGCTGCCCCATAGAGGAGGCAGCAGAGCCCCCGGCACCAGCCTGTCTCATGTGCAGAGTGCCCCAGGGAGCCGGGCGGGGCGCAGCTCCACCCATGGGTGCACTGGGCCAGTAACACAAGGTGGGGCACAGCAGCGGCAGGAAGCACGGGTGCCCGTGCCTGCACCACGGCATAGCGAGCGCAAGGTGCGTGGGACAGGAGCCCACGGCTGTGACCCCTCGGCTCGGTGTTCCCCTCCGCAGCGCGGTCCAGCTCTCCAGGCCGAGTCCCCTCTGCCCAGGTGACATCACAGGTGAGGAACGCAGGTGTTTCTCCATGGCAGGGTCCACCTGCTGGCACCCTGCTCCCGTCCTGGGCTCTGCCTGTAGCCCGACAGCCATCCGCCCGGTGGCCACCCCGCACCCCAGCCCTGCCTGCCGCACCTGCTGCAGCAGCCCGTCCAGTGCGTCCTTATCCGCCTGTGCCAGCCCGTCCTTCTGCAGCCGCAGCAGCAGCTCGGCCTTACGGTAGGGCCTCAGCGCCAGGAGGTGCAGCACCCGGTCCCGGCAGGGCCGCTGGGACACCACGCCGGCCCCCGCCCCGCTTGAGCTGCTCTTCTTGACGGCGCTCGCCAGGTTAAGGGGGGTCGCCCGCTTTCGGGCAGGCACAGCGTCCATCGCCCCCGGGGCAGGTTTTCGGAACTGGACCTTCTTGCCTGCAAGGAGAACCTGGGCGTTAGGGGTGGCGGAGGAGTCAGGGCTGCAGCAGCCAGTGCTGGGTGAGGGCCTGGCGGCAGGGCTGGCCTTGGTCCTCAGCCTGAAGGCGTACACGGGCGAAGGGAGCACCAGGAGTTCTGGGCCCGGCTGTGCACGTGGACATCTTTCCTGCTGTATGGATGTGGTGCCAGGAGGGAGCCCAGGACTTCGCAGGTGCTAGGCAAGTGCTCTACCATGGAGCTGCACCCCAGCCCTATGTATAGCTTTTTTATTTTTGTGGTTCAGTGGATTGAACACAGGACCTTCACACTGAGTTACATCCCCAGTCTTTTTATTTTTTATTTTCAGACAGAGTCTTGCTAAGAGGCCCAGGCTAGCCTTGAACTTGAGATGCTCCTGCCTCAGCTTTTTTTTGGAAAAGAGGTTCTCACCATGTAGTTCAAGCTGCTGGAACTCACTATGTAGCCCAGGCTGGCCTTGAACTCACGGGGATCCTCCTGCCTCAGCCTCCCGAGTGCTGGGATTACAGGCGTGCGCCACCACACCCAGCATGCCTCAGCTTCTTAAGAGCAGGACCCACAAGCGTGTGCCATGCTGCCAGGCTACATTTGTATCTCAAGGAGGAGTATTTGTGCCAGGATGCCAACCACTCAGGAACCATCTGGGACCCAACTAGTATAATGAGACAGATCCTTTAACTGAGCCCCTCCCACCACCCAGAGCCTTAATGCCAGGGTGACCCAGGCACCTGACTGTGCAGGGCCCGCACGTGGCCTGCACTGCCGAGGGGATCGAGTCCTGGGCGAGGCAGCCGCTGCAGATTGGGGGCTGCGCCCACGGTGAAGGGAACCCAGGCCCGACACCCTCATGGCCTTGCTGCCCCCGCCTCTTCCCTCGCTCTCAGAGCCTGGTGCCCTTCTCCCCGTGCCCCGTTTTGATGACGTCCTCCTCGGCCGCGCTGACCCTGACAGTGGAAGCCCACAGCTGGCAGAGGCCGCAAAGGGACAATGCTTCCCTCCCCGCCCTCCCCGTCTCCACATCTCTGCGCGTCACGGGGGTCCGGGCCGCGGCACCGGCTCAGCCGCACCGTACCCAGCATCTGCCTGGCAGGGGAAAGGCACCATCCAGAGAGGACCTGCCGTTCCCAGCGTGGCCGCCTGGTGACGCTGGCCGTGGTCCGGCGCCCCACGCGTGCGGGGCCAGCAGACTCCCACTCCCCGACCGCCTCAGGGTCTTACCCAGGTAGCGGCCCCCGGCCTTGATGACGATGGTGCCGCGACTCCGCGTCTCCTCCTCTGCCTGAGCCATGCTCTCTCGGGCCTTCTGGTAGGAGTCGTCGGTGGCGCACACAGTGACCTTGTCCTGGATGCTGCCCAGGCAGTCCAGGTGGGCGTCCCCTCGGCTGCAAGGCGGGCGGACAGGGCTCAGGTGCCGCCCCTGGGCACAGGGCGGAGGCGGGGCGGGCGGGCCTCACCTGGACACATACTGCTGGATGCAGTCGAAGCTGCCCTGGGGGCTGTCCCGGCCCACGTTGGAGAGGTAGAAGGAGAAGGTGCGGACCTCCTCGGGGCAGTCTGGCTGGGGGATGCAGATGTGCTGCGGGCGGAGGGCACGCGGGAGAGGCATCAGCGAGGCTCTGCCCGGCCGCGTTGTGCGTCACCCTCCCCCATGCCACTCGGGAGCGCCACCCACTGTCCCCAGGACACACCGCTCCACTGCCAGTGACGACGCGGCCGGGGCAGAGGCACCGTGAGTGCGCAGGGCCCTGTTGGGCTCTGAGGAGCAATGGCACTGCGGCCACCCACAGGCGAGGTCCCCACGCCCACTGTGTGGCTCTGGGTGGCAGCCTGACAGGTGCGGACCCAGAAAATAGGGAGCTGGGCCTGGGCACAGTATCCCAGGGACATAGGCCACGACTGGCGTTAGTCCTGCAGCCACGAGCAAGGCAGGCACCAGCCCAGAAAAGCTCACATGTGGGCTCTCAAGTGGCGCTAACGCGGTGTACGTGCCACAGTTCCACCGGAGGCACTGGAGGCACAGCCCAGGCTCCCGGCAGACAGGTGGCATGGGTGGGCCGGGACTCAGCTGGGCAGGGCAGTGTCACGTTTCAGGCCGGTGCCACCTGCCCGCTGCAGAGGAAGGGCCGCCCGGAGATGGTCACAGGACCCTCCCACACGCACACGCGGCTTGGCGCACAGTTCCCTGGCTACGGGCCCACGCAGGAGGCTCCAGAGAGGCCAGCGGTGTGGCCCCGAGTCACCACGTCACTTGCAGGGACACCAAGCTGGACCCTCTCTGGTTCTGAAGCCCTGGTGGGGATGCCGGGCCAGGGGAAACACAGGCACCTCTGGGGCCAGGCCTCCCCCAGGATGGCACAGCCAGCACGGCTACCTGGACACAGCACACAGCCGGACCCTGCCTCAGGAGGAAGCCTTGGCTCGCCGCCCGGGTCCACCCAGCACCTTCTGGCCCTGGGAAGCAGAGCTGGGGACCCTCACGGTCAGTTCATGAGGCCCTGGGGGCGGCTGCACCTCTCAGTGACAGCGAGGGCACGACAGATGCGTGCCTGCAGCCCTGCTGGGCCGTGCGAGACCCCAGGGGGACTCCTCAGCCGTTCTACCTGCCCGGCCCTTCCCAGCTGTAAGCTCTGCTTTCAGTCCCAGGGACTTGCACCCTCCCAGATGGCAGAGGCTGGGTTTCAGATTGGCTGGGAGACAGCAGGAAACACAAAGGGCCTGCATGGTTCCCCCAAGGGCACTGCCCCTCCCTGGCTCCCAGGCTGAGCCCCAGGATGCTCACGGCCCACCCCAGGCAGAGAGCTCGCCACTGCCAGGCCGCCCACCACACTGCTGCCTCAGGGAGGTCGGTGGGGACGGGGAACAGAGATCGGGCGCTCAGTGCTGCTGGTGTCCAGGGGCAGACTCAGGCAGCGGTAGCCTCCGACAGTGGCTGCTCAGCCAATGGCTTGTGTTCCCTAGGCGCGGAAGGCAGGGCGCCCGCCCGCTGGGGAAGCAGTCCATGAACAGGCCACCTGTGCCCAGCTGAGCGCTGAGACAGGGCTGGGGCGCAGCGACCGCTCAGCCTCACCGTGCCTTCCGGGGGGCCTTGGCCCCTGCTGGGGGCTGCTGGCAAGTCCCAAAGACCGAAGTGTAAGGGCTCCACGTGGGGTCTGCCAAGTGCCAGCCCCACTCCCCCGGCTGTCCGGGAACTTGCGATCCTTCTGCCTCAGTCTTCTCTCCTAAAGATGCTGGTCTCAAGCAGGAACAGGGTGGGGGAAGTGGCTCATGACCCTCAAGCCGCACCTGCAGCCCATCCTGAGTGTGTCCCACAACCCGCAGGGGCGCAGGCCCACCACAGGCTGTCCACAGGCCCTGCAGCTGGCCTCAGTCCACGGGCCTCTACAGCAGTGGGTTAGGGCTGGGGCCTCTGAAGAAATAAATGAGGTTCTATTTAGCTCAGTGGTTCTGCCGCCTGCCTTGCAAGCACGAGGACCCGAGTTCAACCTCCGCTACCAAAAAAACAAAAAATATAAAATCTCATGAGTAAAGTTCTGGTGGGGGTAGTGACGTGGTGGAGAAATATCCCTGGACATTCCACTGCAAGATAAAACCAAGATACAGGCTGGCCTGCCCAGACTACGCCTCTGTGAAGCGAGGGCTGGAACTGCAGGGCCCACTGTCTCTCGCAGATGGGCGACTCTCCAGCTCAGCCCTCCACTCTGCCCTCAGCATGGCTGGGGTCGATCTAAGGACGCAGGAATCGGTGGGGCCGGCTCGGTGTCTGAGCTGAGTGCAGGGAGGGGCCAGGCACCTTGCCACGGCCCACCGCTCTCAGGGCTCGGCCCCAGCTGGCTGCGCTCCCTCAGCACCGTGGCTGGAGGGCAGTGGGCCGGGCGGGCTCAAGGCTTCCCTCCGGTGAGGGGACTCTGAGCATCAGGGGTGACTCGTGACAAAAACATAGTGGTCTGGAGACACAGGCAGGGTGGGGACGGGAGTGACCACTCAAGGGGACTAGCCTCCTTTCCAGAGGAGACAAAATCGCTCCAGGACAGAACAGTGGCGAGAGCCAGGGCCCTGTGCAGACTGCTGTCCGCCTGCAGGCACGGGGGAGTGAGCTCTGCAGCAGCTGGTAGTCAGGCCCCGGTGGACCGGAGGAGAGATGGCCTCTACCAGCGCGGGGTCCCGCTCCCTCGCACTGCAGCTGGGCCTGGACCCGTCTCCACCGTGCATGACGTGCAAGCAGGCGACCGAGATCTCAGTGCTGAGACACAAGCACCTAACCGCCAGGAGATAAGACAGCCAAGTCTTGCAGACACAGGCACATGCAAGAAAAACCCCAAAGGCATTAGAAATAATGCCAAGAATCAACAAATGGGATCATGTCGTATTAGCAAGCATAGCAAAAGAAAACACCAATAGAGTGAAGAGACAGACTACAGAATGGGGAAGAAAAACTGCAGGCTACTGCTCAGAAAACTCATTATCTGGAATATGTGAAGAACTCAAAAAAATCAGACCCCCTAAACAAAAGACCGGATCAAAAAATGGGCAAGTCTGCCAGGCATGGTGGCGCACACCTGTAACCCCAGCACTCAGGAGGCTGAGGCAGGAGGATCGCTGTGAGCTGTGAGTTTGAGACCAGCCTGGGCTACATAGTGAGTTCCAGGTCAGTCTCAACTACATAGTGAGACCCTGTCTGAGAAACAAACAAACAAACAAAAAATGGGCGAGTGAAATGAATAGACACTTCTCAGAAGAAGTCCAGATGACCAGTTATATACAGAAGTGCTCAACATCACTGGCATTCCAGAAACGCCAATGAGAACTACACTGAGGTTCCATCTCACTGCACAAAGACTGGCCATCCTCAAGAAATCGAATAATGGATGCTGCCAGGGCTGGAGGAAAAGGAACCCTTCTCCTCTGCTGCTGCGAGTGTAGACTGGTGCAGCCACTGTGGAAATCGGTGTGGAGGCGCCTCAAAGAACTACAACTGGAAATCCCATCTGACCCAGCTCTTCCCTTTCTGGTACCTTCCCTAAAGAGTTAGAGACATCACGTTAGATAGATCCATGCATACCCTGTTATAGCAGCACAATTCATAAGCACTAAATCTTGGAAGTAGCCTATGTGTCCATCAACAGATGAACGACTAGAGAAAAATGTGTTCTCTCTCTTTTTTTTTTTTTATGGTTTTTTAGACAGGGTCTCACTGTATAGTTGAGACTGAACTGGAACTCACTATGTAGCCCAGGTTGGTCTCGAACTTAACAGTGATCCTCCTGCCTCAGCCTCCCAAGTGCTAGGATTACAGGCCTGTGCCACCACGCCCGGCTGAAAATGCGGTCTTTATACACCAAATGTGGTCTTTACACACCGTGGAGTAGTACTCTGCCGTGAAGAAGGATAAACTCGAGGCACTCCTAGGTAAATGGTGCACCAGGAGGATACAATACTATACA